ATAGTATATACACATCCTTCTATACCTCCCTCCACATTTTTAAAGAGGCAACTTTTATCATCAACAATCTCCCCAATCTCATACAAAATTCTCTTTGAGTTATTGAGGATCTGCATTCTTCAAGTTCACACACATACTCCCAGAGGCATTGGACAGAACCTTCCCAACACCCTGAAGGATGATGTCCATGGCAGGAATGATGGGAAAGTGCGGTGAGATGTCCCTTGACATTGAGGGCAAAATGTTGCATTTTCCAAGCAAGATTTGAATGGCAAGACTAAATTCTCCCTCGTGAGTAGTGAGAGACCTGTTTGCATGGATTATCATTTGTTATCACCCTCATTATTATCTAATCTCACTTCATTGAATGAATGAACGAATGATTTATTGATCCGAATGAATAAATCTGAATGAATGATTTATTTATTTATTGATCACTTCATTGATTTACAGTTTACTGTTTTCCCACCTGATGGATAGAAACTAGATGCCAAAGATGCCCAACATGAATGTTGGAGCAGGTACCTGACAACTCCAGCTCACTGCTTGCTCCTCACTTGGACACCAGGCACCAATATCATGGCAAAGGCCATGGACAGCAACCCCACATACACCCCACACCCATGGATATTGGGATCCTAATCAAAACAGCCCCACAACATCCTCATTGCATATCTCCGATCAACTTATAGCGTGGTTCTGCACTTCAGTGCTGCATTTGGGAGCACACTGACACCTTTCATTGCAGTACTGCTGCCAGGGAAAGGAACTCATCTCATGGACTGGAGCTGGCAAGCCAGGGATCCTCCCTCGATATCTTAGCACTTACTGAGTTTGAGCCAAATTGGATGTTTAGCTCATCTCTGCCTCTCCTTCCCATGCTTTTTTACGCCTTTCCCCTTCAGCCAGAACAACAGGCCCACAGTACTTCTTTCTTGCCATGCCTTTTAGTGCTGACAAAAAGCCAGGAAGCTTGTCAGGGATGTTAATATCTTGCTACAAGGCACCATGCTACTTCAACCAAATGGTCACGTCTCAGTCAAGGTAGACAGTCTTCGGGCAGGAGCTCCCAGCTCAGTAGGTCAAGGGCAGTAGATCCAGGGACTTGGGCACAGACAGATGACCAGATAAGGTCATGGTTTGATTCTTTGCCATTTTCTTGTTTTTACTGGTTTGTTTAGCATAAGTGATATTTTTACATCTGTTTCATTACTTTTCTTCTTTGTAAAGAATTTACTTGTTGAAAACATTTTGCTTTTTTTGTGTTAAACTGAACATCATTCTTGGTTGCTGTGGCTTGTTTTTTAGAAATTCTTCATTAGAAGAGGGAGGAGTCAGCTTCTTCACTCGAACTTATCCGTTCTTCATCATCTCAACACCTAATTTCAGACTTAAAGTTTTTGTAAATCGCTGCTCACTGTGCTGCAATCTGGGTCAAATTACAAATGATTCCATTGTCTGTGTTCCACTATACATCTTCTCAAGTAGTGTTAGCAGTTTATTTGTTGCTTCTTTGACTGTATTTCCTTTGAACATTGTAACAGCAGGTACATTGCAAAATGACATCTGGTGCTCCTCATACTTCTGTGGCTTCAGTACTGATGTGCTTTTACAGCTGACATATCACAAATACTTCAGTCCTTTTCTTTCTCCATGAGATTACACCCTCTCCACTAAAAAGGACTCAGTTTTAATTTTGACTGCAGCTTCTTGCTAGGCAGTTGCTTCACTTTAGTCACAGTTACATCTTTCCTGGACCCTAGGAAGTCTGAAAGAATTTCCTCTAAAACATCATCAATGATTTTATCTCTGATCAAGTCATCTGTTAATATTACATAATCATAATTGGCTGCCAACATTTTAAGGTCAGTATAAGATGAGTATGTCTTTTCTAAGCATTTTTTTCTTTCAATTAAATTATGCGCATTCAATAATATTGCCAAACACAAAAATATGAATAAAAAGTTATGATTCCATCCTAATATGCAGCTGTTTCTTTGTTCGCCCCTAGCTTAGAACATCCTCCATGATGCCACTCACTACATATAGCAAGGTGCCAAGCTGATCTTTATTGGTCTTCATCACCAAAATTGAAGCCTTTTCTAAATCGTTTCTGACAATTTGGCCATTTTTCTGCCTGTGTCAGACACTTTATGTGCTTGAATGCTTTTGGAAGCAGCAAGGGTGAATTCATTTCTCACCCTCATTCAAGGTCTACTTTTTCATCTACTTCTTTGCCAATCGTGGGACTGCATTTACAACAACCTAAAAGAATTTGTATTGAATCTTTTTAGCTCTTCTCCCTTCTTCACACACGTGAGAGCTTTGGAAATTTTGTTGTAAAATTCTTGATATTTCTGATTATTATTAAATGTGCCATTTTAGAAACAATCATTGTTGGAACTCCCTGGCCAAACAGAAAGGAATAGGCCTATGTATTCTTAATAATATCAAACTTTTGTTTTGAATTTGAAAGTTGCAATATGCAATAGAAAGTGTTAACATATTCAAGTGTATTTCAAGTACTAGACCGTGTATGGTTGGATAGAGAAGTATGTTCATTAAAAAGCATTCAAGTTATTTGAAAAATCCATCTTTAGAAATTAAGATGACATATTAAGTTATTCGTGGTTCAATTTGAACCACTGCTGTGAAATGATTTTGTTTCACTGGGGACCTGTAACTGACTGACTAATTGCAGCATTCTCATATCAATGGTAATTCTATGATTCTGTGTTCATAAGTAACAATTCAAGTCTTTGTTAATTTAGTTGTTAGACATTTATAGGTATTGTGCCCAAATTCTAATTGATTACAATGTCTATCCAAGAGCTAATATTTATTCACCATTAATAATTAGCCAGTACACTGCAAGTGACTGTAAATCTTAAGTATTGAATCAATTTAGCAGCAAAAAATGATCTAGTTTACTCAATCATGCTACAACAGACAATCACACTATTGCAGGCATTTTTGGGGACAACAGTTAAGACGACAACCTGAATGACCAGCAAATTGAAGGTAAATCTGGTTCAATTTATTTTCCTTCCTAAAAATTAACAGAAACATTTCCAAACTAAATCTGATCGTTCTCGCTTTAAAATGCATAAGATATAGTATAAATGAAGAAGAGAGAATGGAAGAAAGGAATGTGAAGTCTAACATATGGGGGAGCACAACCGACAATTCTTCACGAAGAAGATACTGAGAGTACATGAGCTGTAAAAAACCTAATGAGGAAATCTGTATTAGAGGAGTGCATTTCAACACAGAGGCATTTGGACAGCTCCAACTTGAGGATCTGGGATTGCAGTCATCTGCCCGGACAGATCTCTCGAGTGGTATGAAAATCACAGCCACATGGGTGGCTTCTATGCCACAAGGTCTTCACAGGCAGCCATCTTGGATCTCTGCAATATCTGGCAGATTATACACTTTCCGCTGAAACTTGGGAATTATCCAGCTTGTTATCATAACAGGAAGATATGATTAGCTAGTTTAATAAGATTTCTGATCTTTTAAAGTTTCAGTGTGAAATCAACTTCACCAATGATGCTTTATCAGCGTCTAGAGAAAATCATTCTAATTTACTCAACAGGAAACCTACTCTCTGAATGGTCAGTATACATGTGACAACATTCAAAGAGTCCTGCACATCAGTACAAGATTTTGTTGAAGGTTCTTGTGAGACAATACCACTAGCTCCAGAAGCCAACCTCTTCTTTCTTAACAAGGTACCTAGCCATCTGCACATGAATGTCTTTTTCTTGTTCTAGCACATCTTGTAATCTGAGGAACAATCAGACATGATTGACTTCTCCAGTGCTACAAAAAACTCACAGGACTGATATTTCCCTCCTTATATAGTGACTTGTTTCTTGGAGAAAACCACTAATAGCTACAACTTTAGACATTCAGGCATGAGTTCTGTAGTGTTTCTTCCTATCTGTCAATGTTGAAGATGCTACGAGGGAAAGTCAGATGCCTGTTATGTTCTGTTTCCCTGACAATGGCAGTCTCAGAAATGTCTGTTCTATTACAACGCCATAAGGCACTAGATCTTTGTGCCCACTGATCTGCAGGAATGGGGAATAAAATTATATCTTTTCAATCTTGAAAAGACCATGAAGAAATTAACTCACAACTTGAGCTCCAGAATCTGGAAGCCAGTTCTCTCTCCAACTATCATCAGAGTTGTAGTCTGTGCCTACAGTCAGGGAGCAACAGTAACATGTTTGACTAGGTTTTACTTGACTGCTCATTTCAATATAAAGAAATTATGCCACATGTTTAGAAAAGAGCAGGGAGTTCAGGCTTAAAAGTAAACAGCTATTTTCTATATTATTTTTGCTCTGCTGAAGCGATCAAACATAATATTTCTGCATTTAAGCCGTTTGTGCCTTTCTACATAGGAGGCAATGGAACAGAAAAATGGCAGAGAGTGATCCTACCAACAGTCTTTCAATTAATGCCCAAAATATAGAAAAACCAATTATCTATCTCATTGCTATAGGCATATTGGCTCCATTGTATACCTAGAAAACATTAGTAGTCTGCATTTTCAAAGTAATTTATTGGGTGTGAAATATACTGGACACCTTAAGGTGCCTTTCTTAATGAGGCACAATCCTCTCTTGGGTGGGAGCTTTTTGTAAACATGACCAGAATCAGTAAGATCCAACATGACCAAGCTCTGCTGTCCATTGTGAGTACATGCTTAAAGCAGCAATATTAGGCTTGATGTCCCAGCAGAGCAAGAGTAAAATGGAAAATTGCTGACTATTTTTTAAGTGGCAAGGCAGGAAATATCACGTATGATATTCTGAAAACTGAAAGTAGGAACATAACAAAATATATGCAGACAAGTGAAAGTTCACAGCTCTATACCGAATTTTGTTATTAAACCTCATTGCCGATGATATTTTTTCAAACTTTTCTTACTTTCTATTCTATAAAAGGGCTATTGAGGAGTATTATAGATTGTTTTTAATATTTTACAGGTCCATAGCCGAAATTTGCTCTCTCTGGATTTTGATCGCATAACTAGAACGGAAAAAATATACGATGATCATAGGAAGTTCACCCTCCGAATCCTGTATGATCAGGTTGGCCGACCTACTCTATGGTCTCCAAGCAGCAGACTAAATGGGGTGAATGTGACATACTCTTCAACTGGTCAGGTGGCAGGTATCCAGAGAGGTACCATGTCAGAAAGAATTGACTACGACCAAGCCGGCAGGATTGTATCCAGAACCTTTGCTGATGGAAAGTCCTGGAGCTACACTTACCTTGAAAAGGTATTGTCATAGAGGCACCTTGAAGTTCATTTTCGTCATATATGATAAACATTTTGAGAAAATTAAGTTAGTTGCTGTCCCTTATGTAGGAAGTGAAGACCCTATTACGTTTCACGAACTAGAAATTTGCACAGCAGACCTTTTTGAATAGTGGATAAATCACAACATAATATTTAAACTGAGATCACTAAAGCACCACTTTTTCTATAACAGTCACTGATAAAGTACTGAGGACCAGTAATCTGAGCCTTTTTCAATGGACTTAGTGCTTTCATAGTTTGGTCATAGATAATGTACAATGGGAATAACTTCTGCAGATTAAATAATTGAAATATATAGCAAAATTTGAAATATATTCAGATGAAAAGCAATCTGGGTCCAGTTTAGTATGTTTTAGCCCATACGTGTATGCCAGCAGAGACCTGGTATTAGTGTTGTGCCAAGCATCACTGCTGTTATCATCCGTTCTTGAAATGCACGAATGAGGCTTTCATGATTCCTGTGTCCGAAAGTTAATCCTGGAGCTATAGGTCTTAGGGCAAAGTGGACAGGAATTGCACTGATAAGGGATGTTTATGGCTCTCTCTCCTTCCACTTCTGTTGCTCCTCTGCAACAAAGTTTACACAGTTGGTACCTGACAGTGTTGCAATTCTTTTGATTAGGCAGGCAGGTCATTCCATACATTAATGTCAATGACCCCTTTGCAACACGGCCTACAGAGTGGCCTTAAAATGTTCTCTTTTGTCTATTTTGAGATTGGGTGCAATCCTTAAGCTTTGTAAAGAGTATCTACCTCAAAAGCTAATTATTTGGGATCTGTATGCAGTGTCAGACCAGCAGAGTTGGTCACAAAAATTTGCAATGCAGTACTTTTCCTGGTGGTATTGAGTCTACATAACATTCTGCCATTCCCTGCATAAGTCTACAAGGAAGTGGCACATTTGCAGTATTAAATGGCGGGAAGAATGTACCATCTTAGGTACTGCTATGACAAACTAGTTGGTGTTGCTCAGGAATCATTTCTAAAATTTCTGCTTCAGACAGTGGAATGACCTGTGTCTTTTAATGAGCGTTGACTAATGTATCAGGTTTCTGATGAGAAATAGGTGTTTATTAGAATGATAGAAAGTGGTAAAATCATGCCATCAAATTTCAATTGTAACTAGCTGCCCCTCAGCATGTAGATAAAAGCTGTCTTCTGAATGCCTCAGCTGAGCATCTGAATATTTTTGCTTTGAATTTAAATGGCAGTTGAAAATGTTTCCTTCTGTGTTCAAGTGTTCTACTGAATGCTGCAAAGAAAACTATTCTATGAAGTAGTGACCCATTTGCAATACCTTTCAAAAGTTATTAATGTGATGCTTGAATTTAGTTCAGATCTAGCTTGCCTGCTACATGTATAATGTTGATTTGATTTACAAAGATTTGAATAATTCCATAAGGGCTGTACTCTGGACATCTGTTTAGGTTTGGCTATAAATTTAACATGCCATCAAATTGAATAAATTGCTCTTCGTAATTAATTAATCTGCCCAGGAAGATTGATACAAATGATTGAAATAGTTAATGGAATGCATACATATCATGATGTGTGATTAGCAGCTATTAAATGTTATTTCTCCTGTTTCTCATAGTCCGCAGTGCTGCTTCTGCATAGTCAAAGACAATACATCTTTGAATTTGACAAAAATGATCGACTTTCTTCTGTGACAATGCCAAATGTTGCTCAGCAAAGTCTGGAAACCATTCGTTCTGTGGGCTATTACAGGAACATCTATAAACCCCCTGAAGGCAATGCTTCTGTGATTCAAGACTACACAGAGGACAATCACTTGTTGCAAATGTCATACCTGGGAACAGGGCGCCGTGTGCTTTACAAATATGGCAAGCTGTCCAAGCTCTCAGAAATCCTTTACGACACCACGAGGATTGGTTTTACCTATGATGAAACAGCTGGAATGCTTAAAACTGTCAACTTGCAGAATGAAGGCTTCACTTGCACAATACGTTTCAGGCAAATTGGCCCTCTTATTGACAGGCAGATCTTTCGGTTCAGTGAGGAAGGAATGGTGAATGCTCGCTTCGATTATAACTATGACAACAGTTTCCGGGTTACGAGCATGCAAGCTGTGATCAATGAGACACCATTACCAATTGATCTCTATCGATACGATGATGTTTCTGGGAAAATCGAACAATTTGGAAAATTTGGTGTAATTTATTATGACATTAATCAGATCATCACCACGGCAGTCATGACTCACACTAAGCATTTTGATGCATATGGGCGAGTAAAAGAGGTCCAGTATGAAATTTTCAGATCACTCATGTATTGGATGACAGTGCAATATGACAACATGGGTAGGGTTGTAAAACGGGAATTAAAGGTTGGTCCCTATGCCAATACATCCAGGTATGCTTATGAATATGATGCAGATGGCCAATTGCAGACCGTATCCTTGAATGACAAACCTTTGTGGCGCTATAGCTATGATCTAAATGGAAATCTCCATTTACTAAGTCCTGGCAATAGTGCTCGTCTGACTCCGCTGAGGCATGACAGGAGGGATCGGATTACTCGTCTTGGAGAAGTCCAGTACAAAGTAGATGAGGATGGTTTCTTACGACAAAGGGGAAGTATTATCTTTGAGTACAATTCAGCTGGACTTCTCACCAAAGCTTACAGTAAATCAAATGGTTGGAGAGTGCATTATCGATATGATGGAGTTGGAAGACGGGTTTCGAGCAGAACCAGCAATGGGATGTACTTACAGTTTTTTTATGCAGATCTGAATAACCCTGCAAGAATTACACACATGTACAATCATACAAGCTCTGAAATAGCATCCCTATACTATGACCTTCAAGGTCACCTTTTTGCGATGGAAATTAGCAGTGGTGATGAATTCTACGTTGCCTGTGATAATACAGGAACCCCATTAGCTGTATTTAGTGGAAATGGTTTAATGATTAAGCAAATCAGCTACACTGCTTATGGGGAGATTTATATGGACACAAATCCAGCCTTTCAACTCATTGTAGGCTATCATGGTGGCTTGTATGATCCCCTCACCAAACTAGTACACTTTGGACGGCGAGATTATGATGTGCTTTCTGGAAGATGGACAGCACCAGATCATGATGTGTGGAATCACCTCAGCGACAGTCTCGTACCTTTTAATTTGTACATGTTTAAAAATAATAACCCAGTCAGCAATATGCAAGATATCAAATGTTACATGACAGGTAAGGAAGATTATACTTAACTTTATATAAATTCCTATTCCAATGATCACATAATCTGTTTCAAGTAGATAGCTGTGCCATTGGTAATCCCTAAAGATGTTGTGGATGATTGCTTCTCTGCACACCAGACCAAGTCTAATCCATTACCTCCAATGACTTCATTGTAAAACAAGCTGACCAATGTTCTATGATCAAGAGCTGGCATGAAATTAAACCTCTAACTGAGTTCGTCTAAACTTCTAAGTGTTTACTGCAGTCTTACTTAACATTTCTAATATTTTTAAAGGTATGGCTTTTACAAAAAATATACACTTTTTGACGAAGAAGAGTAAAGCAAATTTGCACTTTCCCTTCACATTAAGGAGCCAAAATAAACCTCAAAAGTTCCGTAAAATTTTCAAGGACCAGGATAGATCCTAAAAGGAAAGAATTGCTACTATTAAAGGAACAAGCTCAAAATGTAAAGGACGACAACATGAAAAATACAAAAAAGATGAGTTCAAATATAAATTAAGTAATGAAAGAAAAAATATGTCTGCAGCCACCATAGTTTTCATCTTTAATAATGATGTTATGATTATCTAAAGCCTGCAGTAATTGAATACTATTCAGTTCAAACGAGATTATCATTACTTGCAAATGGCTGGTAACTTTGGTACCAACAACACAGTCATAACATTCTGACAATAAGTTGTATTGAAACTGATCTATTCTGCAGCAAGCCAATAAAATAATATAAATGTAGAAAACAATGGATTTTCTTTCCATTCAAACTTTGTTTATTACAAATATGTGTAATTTACAAAACCAATAATATAATTATCGCTATTGCATTTCCATTAAAAACAATGAGTTTTGAGGATCATCCTGGTTTTTACATCAAAATATTTTTTATTGGCAAAGCTATAAAATTAAGTCAAAATGATAATGGTAACCCTACTAGCTGAATATGTTACAAATCTCTGTGGGATTGATTACCGTAATCATCTGCAATACTCTCAGCAAACATATATAACCCAATTTTTAACTCCATACCTGTTTTCTGCAGATGAGAAGTGTTGTGAATGAGAAATTTTCTGACAACCCCTCAAATAAGGCTCAGAATTATTTAATTTACTCACTTAAGCACCACCAACAGATTTCTGCCCTCTTATTGTGGGGGAAGATTTCTGCAGGCCAGCAATTTGAAATAATTTCTCTTGGAGTCTTAGAATCCTTACAGTGCAGATACAGTGCCATTTGGCCCATCAAGTCTGCACCAGTCCTCTGAAGGACATCCTACCTAGACACCCTCCCCCACCTTATCCTACCCTCTTGACCCCATATCCATGACTAATCCACCTAATATGCACACTACAGAGCAACTTAGGTGGCCAATCCACCTAAGCTGCACAGCAGGAAATAACTGGAACAATTGGCAGAAACAAGGACAATGTGCAAACTCCACATGAACAGTTGACTAAAGCTGGGATCGAACCCAGGTCCCTGGCACTGTGAGGTAGCAGTGCTGACCACTGTGCCACCATGCCACCCACTCTTACCTTGGTTCAGAATCACTTTATATCCCACCATGCTCCTTCTGCTTCTTTATCACTGTATTTTCATAGCGGCATGGAAAATCCAGACATTTGAAAATTGTGGACAGGATCAGATTTCTGACTGATCCCATTTTGAATTGGGTTGGGGAGGGGGGGCCGTTCAGCAAGAGGAGGCAGGACATGACTTGCATGAGACCCAGCATCCTCTTGACCACCACTGGCTTTATACTGAATCAATGCTGGTCCCTTAACCCAATTTCAAAGACAATAATTTATAAAACTAGAGAGGCATCTCTAAAACTATACAAAGCAGTAGTCAGGCCCCAGTTGTGAACAGTTTTGGTCCCTTTATCTAAGGCAAGCTTTACTGGTATTGGAGACTGTCTGGAGAACAGGGCAGCGTGGTGACTCAGTGGTTAGCACTGCTGCCTCTCAGCACCAGGAACCCGGGTTCAATTCTACCCTCAGGTGACTGTCTGTGTGGAGTTTGCACATTCTCCCCATGTCTGCGTGGGTTTCCTCCCACAGTCCAAAGATGCGCAGGCTAGGTGGATTGGCCATGCTAAATTGCCTGTAGTGTTCAGGGATGTGTAGATTAGGTGGGTTATAGGGGATGGGTCTGGGTGAGATGCTCTGAGGGTCAGTGTAGGCTTGTTGGGCCAAAGGGCCTGTTTCCACACTGTAGGGATTCTATCAAGATCCACCTGATTGACCCAGATATCAAGGGACAGGTAAGTAGGTTGAGCCTGTATTCATTGGAAATTAGAAGAATTAAAGGAGACATTATTGAAACATATAAGATTCTTACACAGGTTTGACAGGAGAGGTGGTGTCTGCTTGTGAGAGAGTCTAGGACCAGACAGCACAATCTCAGAATAAAGGGTTGCCCATTTATGACAAAGATAGAGATGATTTGTTTTCTCTTTCCGAGGATAACAGAAATAATAATCTATAAAGTGTAATAACTCAAAATAATAAATAAAATCTGTGGAATTATTTATCGCAGAGAGCTGTTGAGGCTGGGTCATTAAGTTTTTTCAAGTCTGAGACAGACAGAATTTTAATCAATGATGGAATCGAGGTTTATGGGGATAAGGCAGGAAAGTCAAGTGAAGAGCTATGAGATCATCCCATGACCTTACTGAGTGGCAGAGCAGACCACATAGCCTGTAATTGCTCTTAACTCTTATGGTTTTACTGTCGAATTCTCCAAGTCTAACAATCTTCTTTCTGCTCCAAAAACCACCTCAGTGCTCTCTGTTCTCCTCTTCAACAATATCATTAGCTTCCTGCCATAAACCTACCCATTTTCCCTTTTGTTGAGTTATTCCCCTGCATGCATTGAGTACTTAAGAAGTGCCAGTTGTTTCAATGCTTGAAATTGCAAGATACACCACTATGGTGTTGGTGGTTCACTAGAACCAGAAATAGAACACAACATAGATGGAGAGTAAACTTGAACAGAGAATACGTTATTGTGCGTTCTCTCAGCTCCACAGTCGGTTTTAGACTGTCTCCCCTAGCTCCCACTCCTGGTCTCATGACCTGCTCTCGTAAAGGGACATCCACACCCAACTGCCAACATAACAACCACCTTAGTGACAGCTGTATTATATGCTATTTAATTTGACATGCACAACACAGTCATACTAAGCACCACTCCGATGGATGTTTCTAAGGATCATCCGGATCTTCATGGTATTTCTGCAGTAAAGAGCTCCCTGGTGCTTTTCTGTGAAACAATTGAAAGGCTTTGAATGTGATTTTACTCTTTTTCATGTCACAGATGTGAACAGTTGGCTGCTGACATTTGGATTCCAGCTGCATAATGTTATCCCAGGGTATCCAAAACCAGAAACTTCGTCAATGGAACCTTCCTATGAACTTCACAACACTCAGATGAAAACTCAACAGTGGGACAACAGCAAGGTAACAACTTCCCTCATCCCCCATTCCTACACCCAAAGACTCAGCCAGTCCCACGGTTACTTGATCAAATTTAACTGTGATGTATGGACAAAATGAAACTGCCTCACCACTAAAAAGACTACATGTAGTGTAGAGAGGATACCTCACTGTGTGCGTTTGCAATGAAGAACCCATTATCTCGACTCCTTTTGGCCAGGCTGCTTGTTTTAAACAGCGGTCAGCATAAATTGATTTGATTTTACATTTTCAAATGTGGAATTTCAGCAATTCGCCAGAGAAAGTTTTTTTGCAGGCATTGTTGTAACATAACACATTGACTCAAAATTATGAATAGAAATGGCAAAAGATGGAAATGTTTTGTTCACACCAAGAATCATTAGCATCACAATTGGTCACTGCTAGGGCTGTGATAACTTAAATGTACATGGAAACCAAGTAAGTTCAGACCCAATTTGTTAAACCACCCATGTTTAAATTGTGACCTCATTCCAATTAACCAAAAAACACTAATAATTATCAGTTTTATTATTGTCAATTAGAAATGTGTCACGTTGAGCATGTTAAGCGCCCCTTGAATTTCACACAGAAACAGATATTTTCTTGGTAGTTCACACCTCATTAAGGTACAATTCCTGTATACCTTAATTCTGTCCTAATTCATATGTCACAGTGGTATCTTTCAGCCAGAAGGCCTGGGTTTAAGTCCCACCCATTCCTTTCACCCAGAAGGCCTGGGTTTACGTCCCACCCATTCCTTTCACCCAGAAGGCCTGGGTTTACGTCCCACCCATTCCTTTCACCCAGAAGGCCTGGGTTTAAATCCCACCCATTCCTTTCACCCAGAAGGCCTGGGTTTAAATCTGACCTACTCCAGAAATGTCTGAACAGGTTGATTAAAAAAACATCTACAGTGGTTCTTGTCTTTAAACTATGAGAGCCAGGTTCCCACATGCTCCAGAGATACATCCGAATGCATTTGTTAAAAATAACTACAACTTATACATGTGTACTTAATCTGTTCAGAGCGATATGTTATTACAACTTTACCAATGATTTGCTATTGTTCTGTTTACTAGTAATAATGTGATCCTTTTAAACTGTCTAACACATATAATGGGCAAATTGCATTAGCAACATCTCATTTACTACGAGTGTTGGAGTATGTATCTAAAGGAGTGAAATATAAAATACAAAAAATATATGAGGCAAAGGCAGGAGATTGTTTTAGTTAAAGAACCAGCAATAGTATGGGCAAAACAGGTCAAGTGAGATTCTCCTGCATTGTTACTTGTATGACCCTAAATCAGTGACAATTTAGAATGGAGTCTTATGGCTGGACCTTTGCTTTACAAGTAGGTAGTTTGAGCTGGGAAATTCCCCAGGTTGGTGCACTTGCCATAGGATAAAGTTCTCTGAATGGTTCAATTTTTACCCCAACGTGGGTGAGGGATGGAATCAGGCTCAAACATAGATTAAAGGCAGTGGCTGCCAAGTGCAGAGGCGGGTTGTTCGAAAGGCCCAACTCAGTTTACCAGGTCTTCATTAACAATCTAAGATTATTGAAAAATAACAGACGCTCTGGTCGTCCTCCCTCACACTCCATTAGTTCCTCACCCACACCCCATGCCCCATGCTTACCAAGTAATGGTGTCCATCCACCAGACTTTGCCTTAACACCATCCACGTCAACTGATCCAGTCTTCACTGTGGGCAAGCTCCAGGAGCCATTTTGAGGTAAAATAAAGATGTAAATATCTATTACAGATTTCATCATAATAAAAATTAACACTCCCATTCATGAAAGTCCATTCAATGCTTTAAAAGCCCATTAACCCTTATCAAAATAAACATGTACTGACAATCCTACAGCAAAGATAGCAGTCCTTCAAACAATGTTGTTATTGTCAATCAAACATTGAATTTATGCACCATCCTCCACCACCCTCATGGGATAATTATAAGTTGTGGAAAGCAGCCAACCAACAATAATGACATAAATATAGCCCTTGAGGCAATGTTAAACATTTGTGTAAGTAATGCAACAGATTTTTTCCATATTCATTGACACAGGCAGGCTCCATTTCATTAATTTTTAGTGTTGTGATTTACTTAAATTGACAGCTTGACAATTTGACAGATCTTATGCGCCCCTTAATGCACATTTATGTCTCCTCAATAAATGTTTCACTCCTATATTATAGGTTAAGGACCCTGCTTCAGGGAAAATAGGATCTTTTTCAATTTGGCACAGAGTTCAAATGACTCTTCAGGGTTCAAGTTATCTTCATGTGCGAGTCATGCACCCAATCCCGAACAAAAATGCAATGAACACAGTGGGGTGGGACTTCATGTCCTGTCCAACCTTTCTAAAAGTCTGGGAGTCTACGTAAGTCTATGTATACCCAGCACTAAATCAGTGGGAGCTTAGAAATAATCTCTTGATTAATAATATTATCTAATCATTTCCATCTAATTCAAAATTTCTCTGATTGTCATTACAACATTCATAGAAATTTATTTTCATAAATTGAACGATAAACTGAAGTTTGTTCAAATGAGATACTCATCCGTATATCTCCTCATAATTTCTCTCCAAACTTGATACTTCCCAGATGATGATACGCTACCCTCACACTGGCATGCAGAGCAGATCTTTTGTGCATAGCAAGATTCCACAAATTGCAGGTGGTTGATTAACATTTACTGTTGCTTCATGCAACTGTCATGGTGAAAGAGAATGAAACAAATGAATCACAGTCTTTATCTGCAGATTTTCTTTTGAATGCGATAAAATAGCAACAGAACACATTTCTTATTCCTTAGAGAAAATAGAACCAAAGTCACTGTGGCACAGAAGAAGGTTACTCAGACTTTACAATCAGTGCAAGGGTAGCAGTGGAAGGAAAGGTATGCACGGAGTTGCATTTAATAATTGGTGTAGCTAATCATTACTCAATTGGCCTAAAGGCCCCCTCCAAACCACATACCATCCTTCACTATTACTCCAAACCACGCACCATTAGTTAAGAACAAAAAACAAAGAATTTGAATTTCTTACACATTTTATCCCTATTTTAAGCTTGAATTATATTGTTAAATTACTGCTGGTTATTTCTAGCTTTCTTCCAACTTGTGCATCGAATCTGCCATCTTCTGTTATCATTTATTGTAGTGGATAAGATTAGTTACTTGTTCATCCACTTCAACTGTGCCACCAATTAGCCATCAGGATAGAGTTTGATTTTCTGTGACCCGACATGCAAAGGATATAGGTAAGCTGGAGGAATTAGAATCCACCTTCTTTCAGGCTACAGCGAGTTTTAATTGTTGGGGTAAGTTTCTGTCCTGTCTTCCCCTGAGAACAGGCTCCCTGGATCCACTTCACTTTTCCTTATCATCAACGCTATGTTCAAAAATCTGCCTCTTTCATTTCTGTGACATTGTCATGAGTCTCCTCACTTAATAAAGAAAAAAGAAGCTGGAAATACTTATCATTCAGATAGCATCTGTGGAGAAACTGAAGTCAGTCAGTCAGTCAATATTTCAAATCTTCAAATTGATCGTCAGTACTGAATAGTTCCAGTATTTTTTTGTATTCTGTTCTCAGGAAGAATACTGTATTAATGAAGATGCAGTCCTTAGGAAATAACCTTGAATTGTGGTCCTATCCAGTTGTTCCAGTGCTTCAACTGATGCTAAATTTGATGAAGAGCAGAAGGTTTTTCTGGTGTCTTGACCAATAAATGTCCTTCAACTAACATTAGTTTAAAAGAGGGCAATTCTTCACATTAAATTTGTCTCGCCCAGATAACCATGATAAGTACCACAGCAGCATCTACAACAATCTAGCAGCTTATAATTTTCCACTTTAGCATCAAATAAGTCAAGTATGGTACTTGGGCAGTTATCTGTCAGAACCAATCCCCTGCACTTTATAGAACCTGCATGATCTTCTTTACATTTAAAGAAAATCAAGTGGACTCTACAAAATTTATGCAATCCCCCTGACAGATTACAGTTTCAGTCATCTATAACAGCATAATTATTATTGTGTAACTGGGACTTCTGGTACTTTTGGGATCCCTGGTAATTTTCTAAAGGAATAAAACTACCAGGCCTGCTTCAGCTTGCATTGGGTAACTGCTCACATCAAATTGCTGGAAGTGATATTGGTTATTCCTAATGCTAAATTCACCGTCCAAATAATTGGAGGGTGATTCATTGACATTTTATAACCTAATGGCGAAGTTACCTGAGTGCTGTAAATCTGACATCCCGCCATGATTATTCAAGGTTTTTCAGAAAGCTCACTAAAATCATTTAAAATCCAATATTTCTCACTCAAGTAACTGAAACACAATTGAGAATTGAGAATTGGATTTTTGGGCAGCACAACTCCTGTCTTTTTCAGCTTAAGTATCACAATTCTTGAAATGTTATCAGCAATGTTGCAAGTTACTAACTTGTTCACTGAACATGGACAAAGCTGGTCTTTTCTCTGAATTTCTGAAATTTCTGAAGAAGAGTCCCGACCCGAAACGTCAACTTTCCTGCTCCTCTGATGCTGCCTGGCCCACTGTGCTCCTCCAGCTCCACACTGTATTACCTTAAAGCTGGTCTTTGATTTTTTTTTATAAACAATAACATGACAGCAGATCAAATTGTTCCATTCTAACCTGCTAACTGGAAGTTGCATTTGGTAAAATTCATACCAGACTAAAAGGAGAAGGGAACAATTTTCCTAACTTCTGACCTCAGAACAGTCCCAGGCACAGAGCTTAGGAATCAAGGGGAGGAGTCTTGTTTTGCTGGAATTCAATTCTCTTAACTTGACCCCTCTTTGGGGCTTTATCAATGAGGGTTGCACCTGCAATATACATGCAACAAAAGTTTGGGATATGGATATTTTCAAACTTTTTGGGCACACCACTATTGAGGTTTCTGAATAAAGCTGCTGGGTGGGCAGGTGTACACTCCTGCAGACTGCAGCACACAGAGGA